CCTGGGATCGAGCCCCGCATCGGGCTCCCTGCTCTGCGGGAAGCCTGCTTCTCCCTCCCCCGCTCCTCCTGCTTGTGTTCCCTCTCTCGCCGTGTCTCTCTCTGTCAAATGAATAACTAAATTAAAAAGAATGTCTAGGCAGTAGTTAGTAACTGAAAATAATTTGTTCTTTAAGACTGTTTGCTTACCGTGGACATTATACAGATGGTGACTATTATGATTTTCATTTTCCAGGGAGCAGTACCCGCCTGGTGCCCTTGCACTTTTCAATGTTAACAATAGCAGCAATAAGGACCAGTAAGTACATTTACAATAAAAAACCAAAGCTTTGCTTTTAAAGACCACCAGTAAAAAGGTAGGAATATATCTGAAGCTGCTAGAGAGGAGATCTTTATTAGGAAAACTATCTAATACAATAGCAATGGTATTCTGTTATTTTTGTCATTGGTTTTTTTACTTCTGAAAAATGTGGCTACCCATATTAAAAGCAGCATGTATGTATGTATGTATATGTATGTGTTTGAATGCATACAGAAAACCGTTGTCTAGCGTGTAAATGCAAGTGCCCCTCCTTGTGGACAAAAATAAATGAAATATCAGTATCCTTTCTATTCTAAGCCAATGTGTCTTAGGTCAAGTTCCTTATGAGACAATCTCTGAGAGGGAGGTTTGTGTGCAAAGGTTTATTGGGAGTGCTTTTAGGCATGATACCTAGGAGGGAGTTAGGGGAGCAGGACTGGGCAGAGGGAGAAGTTGGACTTCAGAGGATAGAGTTGATATGAGGAGCTCTACAGCAGGGGGCCCCTTCAGAGTTGTGTCATAGGCAGTAGGACTGGGCCTTTGCACAGGCACAGTCTTGGATGAGGGGAGCCCCTAGGATGGGGGCGCATAGCTTTGAACATGGTGGCTTCCTTAGGCCAACGCCAGCCAAAGGCGAGGAAGACTGTGAGCTGTCAGCAACCAATACTCTTGGCCGGTGGGGAATGAGTGCCAGAGTTCTGTGCATTACTGCATCCACACAGCACATTTCTTGCACTGTTCAGGTCTGCTTTCTTCATATAGAAAATTCACCCTATGTAGGAATATACCTCCTCCAGGAGTCTTGATCTTTTTTCCTCGGGAATCTTTTTTTTTTTTTTTTTTTAAAGATTTTATTTATTTTTTTGAGAGAGAGAATGAGATAGAGAGCACATGAGAGGGGGGAGGGTCAGAGGGAGAAGCAGACTCCCTGCCGAGCAGGGAGCCCGATGCGGGACTCGATCCCGGGAGTCCAGGATCATGACCTGAGCCGAAGGCAGTCGCTTAACCAACTGAGCCACCCAGGCGCCCTTTCCTTGGGAATCTTATAAGAGGAAGGTTAGTGGGATAAACCTAGGTCCCTGACAGCTGCAGCTGGTCTTGAGGCTTTAACTGAAATAGCTTACGCCCTCCTTTCCTACTCATTCTAGAATCCTGTCACCTCTGGTCAGCACTTCTGCTGGTCTAGATGATTTGCTTCGTGGGATGAATGATACAGACTCTTGTCCCTAAAGGATTTGGGCCCCTGGTCACCATGCCCTTTTTGAGTTATAGCTGCTGTATTTGTCCATTTACCACTAAAACTGGGCTGGAGAACACCAAACACACCAGAGCAGATCACCTATGTGCCAAATACACCCCCCTATTGTATAACAGCAACACTATCTAGTTGTGAGGAAAGAAGTCAGTTACTTTTGCCAGTATGGTGACTCCCTTTCTTGCCTATTGGTTTTTTGGCACAAGGGGCCCAAAGTGACTGGGGAGTAGTCATAGCTTAATGTTTAATGGGACCCTAACTGTGTTGCCTGGAAGACACGTGATCCATCTGGAAACCTCTAGATCCACAGACCATAAAGTTGTGGGGATGAGAAGGACACATTCCCTATGTGAGTCACTCCTACTGAAACTCCTTCATTCCGAGACCCATACATGGTCATTTCCTTTTCCACACAAAGTGGATGATGGTGCACTGCTTGAAGCTGTGCCATTGGTAAGATTAACTCTACCATAATCTTCTAGGGTCACCTCTAAGTAGGGCTATAGTCTTGCATCCCAATGTCAGGCTGACCCATTCATAGACCATGCTCCATCAACTGCTCCTGTAAGACCCCCACATATGGCCATGGTGGAGAGTTGAGGAATAGGTGCTGATACAACAGTGATAGATGACATAGGGGGAGGGTACCGTGCCACATGCTTGATCCCAGATATACCACTTCATCATGTGATGGATTGCTGTACAACCTTATAACTTGTTCACTCTGACAGAATCCAGCTCATGGTCAGTAGTCATTTTCTGTCCCATGGTTAGTTAATCCTCTTTCAAGGCCCTATTACATGATGCCATTGATATAGTGGATCAATGTGCTGAGGAATGTCCAGATGGTCCAGGTCCCTCTAGGCTGTGTCATGACATTGAGCAGGAGAGACAACATAGCCCTGGAAAAGACTATAAATGTGTGCTGCTTTCCATCTCATAACTATTTCTGATCCTCTTCCCTGACAGTGATAAAAAATCACACACTCACCATGACTGACCCAGAACATTAGGTATATGGTCTAGATTGCGTGAGGGCATCGTTTTTCACATTTGCCAAGGCAGCAGCAATTGAGGCTACTCTGTGGTTGATTTTGCAGTAGTCTACTGCCAGCCACTGGTATCCATGTGGTTTTCACAGGGACCAGACATTGAGTTAAATGGTGGTGGGAGGGAACCACCACCCCTGCACACATGAGGTCTTTGAGGATTACATTTTCTTTCCTGTCCAGGATGCAGTATTGTTTTCAGGCAGCAGGTGGGGGGCAGCTCAAGGGCTTCCACTTGGCCCTCCCCCATTATAGTCGCTCTTCCTCTACAAGCCAAGGCACTAGTAGGGATGAGGGTTCTACCAATGACCAAATATATATATATATATATATATTCCATTTTTACACTGAGGAACTGGAGAAATGACCCCAGTGGTGGGTCTTGAGACCCAATGGAAGCCCCAAAAGTCATATATTGTCAGTGATTTCATTCTTCAGTCAGTGATTTCATTTCTGAGAACTGGCTCAGGTTTAGAAACTCTTCGTGAGGTTGTGACTTTTTATTGGGTTAAGTTGCTCTCAATCTCCTGATTATCCATTCCTGATCTGTTTTGACTATATATGTTAAACAGTACCCTGACAAGCCTTTTATGTTCCGTTCCCCTTTGTACATGACAACCTTAGGTTCCAAGCCCCACCTCCTTATCCATTCTGTTTCCCATTTCTCCTCAGTAGCAGCATTCCACTTCTGCTAGGCTATTCATATACAGACTAAATTCATTTGTACATTGGCACCTGAAAATTTTCTTCCCGTTAACATCCTCACGCTTCTTCTCAACTTCTCCAACTCTTACCTATACTTGGAGGCCTAGACCTATCTCCCGCCCTTTAACAACCTCTCTGACTACCCTCCTGGTAGTCAGATGCCTGTTTATTCATGTCTGAATAGTAAACTTTCCCAAGACATTTGAGCCAACAATGGCAGCCTATTTTGACCTTAGGTCCGCCTAATTCCAGAATCCATTCTTCAGCTGATAGAGAGCCAGCTGTACAAAGAGGCCTCTAATCACATAATCTCCACTCCAGAGGAAATAGCATATAGAAAAAGGTGATCTCAAATCCAGTAAATGATTCTAAGAATTAGGATTCCACTGTGTGGAGCTTTTTGACTACTCATAAAAAATTGCTGCATTCAGGATTACCCCCCTAAAGAAAATTGATCGCATTTTCTTGAAATTCTCAAAGCTCTTAGTAATAGTTAAGTGATATCAAGAAGCTTAAATTTTAAATAATAATTTTTTTGGACATGGAGACTTGGAAATTATACCCTTGGGGGCTGTTGTTTCCTAAATTTCCCTTGTTGGGTTTATGCCTTTATCGACCTCCATTTCCTTCAATTTTCCACATGCTCTAACCCAGGAATTTTTGCTTGTTTGTTTATCATCTGGGTGCATGTCCATTTTTGTAGAACTCTCCATTAGAAGACCAGATTTCTGGTCCCTGAGCATGGGGGTAGGTCTCTGAACGCAAGGCCCAGAATTCTTGCTCGAGAGAGAAGAAAGTAAATAAGAATGGAAGTCAGAATGTAATTTGATTATGTGACTTAGATATTATTTCTTCTTTAGAGAACCAAAAGAAAAAAAGAAAAAGAAAAAAGAAAAGAAGAGGTAAGTTTGACTTTGGCGTGAGTGATTCCAGATTTTTTGGCCCATAACATTTTCGTATCTTGTTAGTAACTACATCTCTCACTTTTCAGCAAATCAGGTGATAAAAATGAAAATAAAAAGGACTCAGAGAAGAAAAAGAAGAAAGAAAAGGAAAAAGAGAAGAAAAAGAAAGAGGAGAAAGGCAAAGATAAGAAAGAAGAGTAAGTGGCATTGAAATTAGGAACGAATTTATAATGGATTTTGGATGCAGGGTTATTTCCTGAAAGTTTATAGTTATGGAACCCTGTGTAAAAGACGAAATAAATTATTATAAAATGTGAATCAAATTTTTTTTCTAATTTCCTTAAAATGAGCAGTGGTAGCTTTATTCTTAGTTTTCTCATCAAGAATTTTCAATGTTATGGTTAATTATCTTCCTCGAGCTCTGGTTAAGATAAATTTACCATTGAGAGATATTTGGGTTTCAAGACAATTGGGTTCCTAGGGTCTTAACATTAATCTTTTTAAGTTGAAATAAATATTTAATACTTTTATTAACATCTCTGAGTCATAAATACTGTATGGCAAATACTCCAAAAGTAAGCAAATTTCCTTGCAAAACCCATGCTTCGTTTTGAGAGCGGTACAGATGCTTATCAAAATACCAGCCATTTGAAAGATCCTTTTGTTTTAAAGATTTTATTTATTTATTTGACACAGAGAGAGAGAGACAGCATACGCAGGGAGAGCAGCAGAGGGAGAGGGAGAAGCAGGCTCTCCGCTCAGCAGGGAGCCCGAAGCGGGGCTCAATCCCAGGACCCTGAGATCATGACCTGAGCTGAAGGCAGAGGCTTAACCGACTGAGCCACCCAGGTGCCCCTGAAAGATCCTTTTTAAACAAACATTTAAGGGTTAGAATTTCACAAGGGTAAGGCTGAGTGATATTTTCAAAGCTATCTTTTTACTAAAGGGAAAATTGTTTTCTAAACGTAAAGAAAACTCTTTACCAGAGAGTATTCACTTATTTGTGCCTGCTGGAAAGCTGTTGAGGTTTTTACAAAGGGAAAAATCCTTAATAATATGGGCTTGGGGCGCCTGGCTGGCTCAGTCAGTAAAACATGTGACTTTTGATCTTGGGGTTGTAAGTTCAAGCTCTATGTTGGGTGTAGAGATTACTTAAAAATAAATCTTAAAAAAACCCTAGAAAACCTCACCACCACCACCACCAACAACAACAAAAAAACCCAAAAAACCTAATGTAGGTTGATACTAGAAAATTTTAAAAATTTTCCATTTGACCATATATTTCCTTCCTTCCTCCCTCCCTCCTTTCCTTTCCTTTCCTTTCCTTTCCTTTCCTT